ATAGAATCAAATTCCAACTACGATCATTTTTTAAAATATTTTTATTGGATGCCGGGATTATATCGGATCAAATATATATATATGTTACAGTAGAATTTAAAAGTTCACCATTGACAACTAAAATTTCAATCTTCACTAGTGCAGATTAAAATAAAATGCAGATGTCTGGATATGTGATGAACCATGAATTTTCAAATTCCATGGTAACATATACACAAATCCAGCAGAATTGAAAAATGCTGTTTGATTCTATTTGACTGATGTCAAATGTTTCTGGAATAGAAAGAAATATCAGTTAAAGGCTTAAACTTTAGGATTATTTTTTCCTAGGACACGACTAGACTAACTATCGTAACGATGGTTATAGTCACCATCATTTTATACGTGATTCAATGTAACAAATACGTTAAAATTTGCAAAGAAACTAATTTTAGTCTCTCACTCACTGTTTGAAATCCTCTATAAATCCATGGATATAAATGACTTCCTTTGACCAATCAAAATCCACATAAAGTATCAAATCAGAAGAAATTACTGTATTAAGTCAGGGCCAGTGTAACCAGCGTCATAAAGTCTGCCACTATCATTAAATTATATTTAAATCTGTTCAGCCGTGATGTTTAATATCGTACTTTATTGTCTCTGTTTCGTTAGCACAATTATCACTAGTTGTTCAATAGCTTCTCCTCTCTTAATTCTTTTCCCTCCAATCGAATACTCTTTTGTAGTATCATCGTTCTGCAAACGAAACTTATTATTCCCCATGTCTAAATCGGCGTTTGAGAAAACGTGTCTGAATGCGTTTTTATCCAGAAACTGGAAAAACGCCTTCTAATGCATCTAGAATGAAACATCTGGACACGTTAATAGGTATCTGGTTATAAATGTTTTCAAGATATATTTTGATGTGTCCAGATGTTTCATTCTGGACGCATCTGTCAGGAACACATTTGCATTTGAGACATAAAATTTTTACATAGACACTTACAACGATAATTGAGTGCATAATACACATTCTTTAAGATTTCGGTAAATTTTCTGGGGTTTGTTTATAAACCTCATCTTGTGACAAAGACTATCATGTTTTGTACAAATGGCACAAATTCAATGCAAGTATGGATTCAAAATGGTTTTACATTATGTTTTTATGATACAATAACAACATCAATATTATTCGGATTTATTTTTATATTTGGGAGTATACAGTTCATATTCTACAAGTAAGAGAAGTAAACGATAAAACTAAGTTACTCTACTTTTACTCAATGAATATTTCCATGAACAAAATTCTTTATTTAGAAAATATGCTTTCAAAATTGAAAAAGAATATATAGATCCGTCCATGTTGTATAGTATCCAAATTGTTCTAACTGTTATGCTCGCATGTGAACCAACATTATATTACGCATCTGAAACAACAGCACTTGGGAGACAAGTGAAGGTAAAGTGAGTATGTCTAATAATTAACTTTATATTATTATTTACTTGTTTAGCTACCAGGCTACATCATATTTCGTTGTGTATTACGTACGATTGCTTGGCTTTACTCATTAGTTATACTTCGAGTGGAGCGAACAAAAACATTGCCAACGATTCAATCAAGAGGACATGGTTTAATCATACTGACTTACTGGTGTCTAAGCTTTTTGATCGAAGCATTAGGTAATGACATAATCGGACGAATATCTCCTTCACTGATCTGTTGTGTTGTTTATTTAGCATTTGTTTCATATCGCAGTCCATTGTGGTATTTTACATTGACATCCGAAATTGATCGTGTTCGATTGGGTTATTGGATATTTCGATTTATAGCAACAATTTTTATATTTTTTATCGGTTTAAAAGGTCCTGGTGTACCCCGTCGTCGTTATGCTGCCTCATTAAATCGAACCGATTCTCAAATTGAAGAAGCTCGAGCAAATGAAAATGTCTGGAGTAAATTTTTTCGACATTTTAAAACATTAGTTCCCTATATTTGGCCAAAAGGAAATTATGGTTTACAATTGAATATTTTTATTTGTCTGGTAATACTGATTGCTGGAAGAATATTGAGTTTGGAAGTACCACGATATACAAAATTAATAAGTAAGTAAACCATAATAAAACCTAAACAGAATAAATAACTCTTGTCAATTGTTTGTTTTTATAGCTGATGAATTGATTAATTCGGGCGCCGATAATAATTCAGTAACCGATACATTTTTAAATCTTGGACAAGTATTTCGAACACCACAAACATGGCCATGGAAATTGGTTACAATACTGATGGTTTTGAGATTTTTACAGGGTTAGAATAGACGTATTATAATGTCTTTTTTCGCCAATTAATTAGTATTAATAATATTTTCAAAATTATTTAGGTGCTGGTTTATTTGGTAGTGGAGCATTGGGAATATTACGTACACTTTTATGGGTAAAAGTTGAACAATACACAACTCGTACATTAAAATTACGTGTATTTTCTCATTTACATAATTTATCGTTAAAATGGCATTTATCACGTAAAACTGGTGAAGTTTTAAGAATAGTTGATCGTGGAACAGATAGTGTTGATTCATTATTAAATTATATTCTATTCAATATTGTACCAACCATTGCTGATATTATTATTGCTATTGCATATTTTATTATTGCATTCAACATATGGTTTGGAATTATTGTATTTGCTACTATGCTATTATATTTAATTTTAACTATTTTGATTACAGGTAAATAATTACATCATTTTATATTACTTTTCTTCTCATATGAAAATGGCAAAAAAAACAAACAATTTTCTCCATTTTTAGAATGGCGTACAAAATATAAACGTGAAATGAATAAATTAGATAATGAAATGGGTGCGACAGCTGTTGATTCATTGTTAAACTTTGAAACAGTTAAATATTACGGGGCTGAACCGTATGAAGTTAATCAATATCAAATAGCTATAACAAAATTTCAATATGCAGAATATATTACTCAAGTAACATTACAAATATTAAATATTGTGCAAACAATTCTTATTAGTATTGGATTAACTGCTGGAAGTTTATATGCAGCATGGTTAGTAGGTGAAAAACATGAATTAACTGTTGGAGATTATGTTCTTTTTGGTACCTATATTACACAACTTTATGTGTAAGTTTTATCATAATCACTTGTTGATAAAAGAATTTATCTTTCTCATTTTTGTTTTTTGTTAATTTAGACCCTTAAATTGGTTTGGTACCTATTATCGTTTGATACAACAAGCATTTATTGACATGGAAAATATGTTAGATATATTGGATATTCAACCAGATGTACAAGATCGTCCGTTTGCTAAAGATATACAGATTACCAATGGAATGATTGAATTTGAAAATGTTTCATTTCATTATCAACCAGAACGACCAATATTACAAAATATTTCGTTTTCAGTTTTACCCGGTCAGACATTAGCCATTGTTGGACCAAGTGGAGCTGGTAAGTAGTATGATCATTTAATAACGATTTTGAATTTCTTTTTTTTATAAATCAAAAAGCCTGATGTTTAACATTAGTCTTCTTTGAATGCAAATGTTAACATATTCAGATTTGTATCTGAATGGCTTTCTTCTTTCCCTTCCTGAAATCATAAAATAATCATCTGTCTTATCAAACTTCGTGGCAGTGTAAATATTTGCATTGTTCGGATAGATCATTAATAATTATCAGTATTAACTTTTTTACAAAAAGAAAAATTCAAAATTAGATAGTGTTCACTATATACCCATAAGAATAAAAGAGAAAAAAAGGTGATAGATGAAATGTGAGAATAAATTGTAAACTATAGTTGATAATAATTAGAGATCCTAATCGATAGTTTTGATTTTTTCTTTTTAAATAAAAATCAGTGTTTTTGCTAGAAGGCTTACTGCCCCTAGTAAAGATCACAGAAGTTTTCACACTTTTTGGTACACAGGAGCAACGGTGACAAGCTTTTTCTAATGTTTAGCCGCTATTGAAGAAGAGACAAGAATATATTTTCTGAAAAAAGCTATTAATTTTTAATAAATTTTGAACTCCTATATAGACGCTGATATCATACAAATACATTCTGATGTTTCAAATAATTAAAAAACTGCCCGTTGGTATGAAGAAGAAGAAACAAATTTATTATTTAGCCTTAGGCACAATCAGAATATATATTTTACTTTTTAAAATCATGCAGAAAAAATTTATTTCCGAGATAGATCTCTCTGTCACTCTTAGAGTCGTTAGTTATGTTCGAAAAAAATACAGATAGAGCATTGAATGATCTATGCAGTGATTTTTTGTACAATTAACATATAGAGAGAAATCACTATAACGAAATGACTATAACTCAATAAAATTTTTTGTTTTCTGATAGAGAAAACGATCTTTGATCAAAGTTCATTTTACATTTGTTTTATGATTGAGAATATGTCTAGTTATAAAAATTACACGTATCTGAAAATGTAAAATTGTTCATTAAATGTTCGAACGAAGGATATTTTAATTTTTTGAAATTTCTTTTTCTTTTTATAGGTAAAAGTACAATTGTGAGATTATTATTTCGATTTTATGATGTTATAAATGGTGTAATTAAAGTTGACGGTACAAATATTTCAACTGTTACGCAAAATTCCTTACGGCGATCAATTGGTGTTGTACCGCAAGATACTGTATTATTTAATAAAGATATTTTATACAATATACGTTACGGAAGAGTAAATAATTCATTGATCTAACCTAAATGTTTACTTAATTTTCATTGTACTTTAGGTTACAGCTGGTGATCGTGAAGTTGAAAATGCAGCTCGTCTAGCAGAAATGCATGGTAAGAATGTTTATAGAGAAATATAAATTTTTCATGTTTATTGTTGTTATTATTTTTTTATCTTCTCACTTTTAGATCGTATTTTAACGTTTCCTGATGGTTATAGAACTATTGTTGGTGAAAGAGGTTTAAAGTTATCGGGTGGCGAGAAACAACGTGTCTGCATTGCAAGAACAGCATTGAAAGCACCGGTTATTGTACTATTAGATGAAGCAACATCTGCATTAGGTTTATTTCTCTAAACTTTGTGAAATAATCATACTGATTTATTCTATTCATTTAGATACACACACTGAACGACACATACAGTCAGCATTAAAAAGCGTCTGCGAAGGTAAATACTATTCGTAATATCCCCCTGGACAAAATAAGTCGAACACACTCTTTTTAAAATTAATCCTCCATACAATGGAAGTTA